ATTCCCTTAAAGCTAGGCTCACCCTTCCATATACATGTTGATTTTTTCTTTAATAATGCTTTCTACCAATGTATCTGCAACAGATGCTACCAGCCCTGTAATTCTCCAGTTTTCTTGTACACAGGCTAACACTGTAAGGATATCACATATTTTAGAAATCAGAAATGTAATATTTGATATTTTTTAATGCTCAAGTAGATACCATCCAGATTCATTGGCCAAAATCCTGTTGCTTAGCATAGTAAATTTCACGATGTAGTCCTACTAAATCAATGAAAAACAGTCAAAGATGAATTCTTTTATTCCAAACGTGACTTGAAAATGAAGCTTCTCATCTGCAACATTCTTATTTCTTCTCATTTCCATGTGAACTCTGAAGCCGGATCTTACCAGCAAGCCCCTAGATGATGGCTAAATATAGAAAGCAAGTTCCTAAAGGCTTCAGTTGCTCCCCCCACCATCAACTAAGAGTACATTTCTCTGGATGCTTATGACAGAATCCTGCAATTGCCTGCACATGAGTTTTCACCGACATGCGATTGAGAGGGAGAGTAAAAATAACTTTTTCTCTCTACCGAGAATACTTATTAATAATTATTCATGAAGAAAAAAGTAGGTCAAGTATGTGCCTCAACATCAAAAGCAGTGACATTCATTCAGCAATCACAATCAGCTACAAGTGACAGGTGGCTCCATGTGCCGGCCTGAAACATTCCTTCTGCAGAGTACATGTTGTGAATAAAAGTGATGCAAAACATTGGAAGACAGCCTATGACTTCATGCGAGGGAATAAACCACCACTTTGCTTGACTTAAAAGGAGACAGTGTGTTTCTGGTGTGGAAATCCATCCAACTTTTCTTTCCGTCTGTTCGGAAACAACTTTCTTATCAGCATTTTGAGCTGTTCAGAACATTTAAAGTCTAGTTCACACTTGATTAAATGTCAAGCACAGAAATGTCATTGTGAAGATGCAAGAGCATACATAATGAGAGATGCATGCAGTTGTCGCGGTAAACCAACACATGCAATTCATATTGTTTTCTCCATATGATGAACTAATTTTGTGTAGTAATTTAATTTTCTAGTAAAGCACACAGTTCTATCAACACAACCACCATTCAGGTCTGTTTCCTATACTACCAATGCTGAAGAATATGAAACAGAAAGCTTTTATGCAAGCATCCAAGAGGAAATTGATCACATACCAAATCAAAATGTGCTCATAATCATAGGTCGCTGAAATGAAAATGTAGGGAACAAAGCAGAACTAAATGCTGTTGGAAAATTTGGACAAAGAGACAAAGATGAAGCAGGAGACTCACAGATTCTGTGAAGCCAACCATCTATTTATTCAAATGCCTACTTCAAACAGATGGCTGTACATGTAGACACCACCAGATGGACAATACAGAAACCAAAAATTGGAAGCAGGAGATGGAGAAGCTATATTTTCTCTGCAAAAACAAGACTAGGAGCAGAACGTGGTACTGATCATGAACTGTTAATATCCAACATCAGAGTAAAGCTGAAAAAGAGCACTAAAAGGAAATGCTTTCTGGGTGTGGTGGATTAATGTGATACATTTCAGTGGCTTGCAGACTGTTTTGGTTACCAGAAACTGGACAGAGAAGGCATATCACTGTTCTTCTGAATCTCTTATCAGCTTTTGACACTAACGTATTGATGTTATATTCCCAGACAACCAAGCTGGGATGGCAGTGTTTTACAGTGATTCCAGGCCTTCTTGAAAGAGTTATTTGAGAAGGTAGTAATGGGGGACGCGTTCTACACCATGATTATATAACCCTATCCCATTTATTGTTGTGTTACACCAAGCTTCAGCACTGAATCTGAAGGTGAGAAACTCCTGTGTGTGTGTAAGCCCTCCCAAGCAAGAACCCTGGAAAATCTGTGCATGCAGTTTGCTTTATACCACCTGCACTGAGGTATGATTCAGCTATCAGTCCAATCCACTTCTATAAAACAAGTAGGGAAAGAAATCCACTTCTATAAAACAAGTAGGGAAAGAAAATATATTGCTCTTCATCTCAAGTCACAAAATGCCTTTGGCAGAACGAATACATCCCACCCCCACAGCTTATAAAATGGCTAACTCTGCTCTGCCCGAGCTGTTCTTGTACTACAAGTTCCCTGGCTCAATTATTATCTTTCTGCTGAGCCACCTACCCCAAGACATTCTCTATTTCACCTTGAAAACACAAGATAAGCAATTTTGGCATATAGGTAAAAAGTTTAGGTCACTGCTATGTGGAAACATGCCTCTCTGAACACATCACGTTAGGAGAAACAAATGAAAGATTGTATTCATAACATGAATATGAGCTTTAAAAACAGGATGTAGGATGTTCCTGTGCAATAAAGTGTAAAAAATGTCCATGCTTTGAGAGTTTTATCTTAACACACACACTACAGCCAGCCCTATTGGATGGAAGGCTGACTGAAAATCCTAGTAGATAACATCTGCTTTCTGGATTGAGAGGCAGGCTCCTCTGCTCCAAAGTAAACAATGCTCACCAATCTAGCAGTGTTGAATCAGTTTTGGTTTTAATCCTTACCCCAAAAAGCATCTTATTTACTTTATTTATTTATTTGATTTATACCCCGCCTATCTGGACTACTCGTCCAGCATTTTATCTTCTAACATTTATTTTATTAGCACCATGAAATACAAACGCTTGATAAGAAGAATAATCTAGGAAAACTTGCTTGTTCCTATGAACTTTTTTGAACAATACTGTGTAAGTCTCATCTTAATTTGTACATCGTGGGAATAGCATTGCTATATGTGTGCAAAATGAATGTTGTAAGTTTTCAAAAGCAAAACTTTGGAGCATGTTAAAATGGTGACATCTAGTGGCAATGCTTCCAAATGCAGTTTTTGCTCACGTTCTATGATCTCACTGCTTTAGGTTCTCCCCTTTGTCTGGTTAGAAAAGACAGATTTGTAAGACTCACAAAAGAAGAACTATTGTGTCATATCATTTAAGAATAGCCAAGGTCAGGGAAATCAAAGGCATCCAGAAGATGGAGGAATGCCCTACTGTAAAATAACACATTTCCAGGGCTTTTAAAAATTACTTTCTAATTTACAACTTCTGGAATTCCTGACCGGCACAGCCAGTGGCCATGTCAGCTGTGGGATTCTGGCTTAGTCCAAAAAAGTAACTTTTTAAAGGCTCTGCAGATGTTCTACCAAACTAAAAAATAGACCTGAAAGAATGGTAAGAATTCTAAGTAGCAGTTGTGTAAATAAGACAAATAATTTTTGTAGCTGAACAGACAATCTGTAACCTTCCTGCCACTGACTAACTAAAATCCATTCCTTTCTTAACAATTTAATAATAATAATTTATTGTCATTGTAAGTATATACACATACAACGAAATTAAGGATTATATTGCAATAGTTTTTTTTTGTCACAATAATCCTGACATGAATCTATGTCAATTTCATGTCAGGATTATTGTATGTTAAAGTATGACTTTAACAGTGAAATTCTAAGTGATTATAATGTATGCTTCTGAATACCAATAGTATATTACAATGGCTATACCATGTTCTCTCAAGGTATGGCTCAATAAGAAGCTAATGGCATATAACAAGATCCTGTCTATAGAGCCTGTGTCCAGAGCACACTCCTGTACTGCAGTGAGTACTGGACCCTTTGTGCACAGTAGGAGAGGAAGCTGAACATGTTCCATATGTGTCGTCTCTGATGCATTTTTGGTATCACCTGGCAGGGCAAAGTTCCAAGTAGAATATTCCTAGAACGGAGTGAAATTTTTAACGTGTATACATTACTGAAACAGCAACATCTACGTTGGCTTGGGCATGTCGTGAGAATGTCTGACAGTCAGATTCCAAAAAATCTCCTGTATGGAGAATTAGTGCAGGGAAATTGCCCCAGAGGGAGACCAGAGCTGCAATACAAGGTTATCTGCAAGCAGGATCTGAAGGCATTAGGAATGGATCTCAAGAGATGGGAACCTTTGACATCTCAGTGTTCAGCCTGGAGGCAGGCGGTGCATCACGTCCTCTCCCAATTTGAAGAGACCCTTGTCCAGCAGGCTGAGGCAAAGAGGCAGTCACGGAAGCAGCAAAATCAGGGAGCTGGACAGGGTTCAGATTGTATTTGTCTTCAGTGTGGAAGGGATTGTCACTCTCGAATTGGCCTTCTCAGCCACACTAGACGCTGTTCCAAGTCCTCAATACAGAGCATGTTACCATAGCCTCTTGAGACTGAAGGATGCCTAATCTAAGTACAATGGCAGTGAAATATAAGACCAGGTCTGCTAATGGTTGGATCTTTTGGAGGTCAGTAATTCACAGGATTACTATAACTCAGAAATGACTTGATAGCAAATAAAAGCAGAAAAATTATTTTAAGATGCTCATAGATTGGGTGGGTTTCCTGATAATTCTTGAGGATTCTCTTGTTGCCTCAGCCGGTGACTTTGTCAAAGTCCTGGTTCAACTCTCAAATGGAGAAATGGCCAGTGAACACATGTGCATCCAACCACCACAGAAGGGAGACAAATTTGCCCTCAGGTTTTCTAAGGGCCTGGCAGTGATGAAGTGACTTGGTGCAATACTTAGAATAAACCTGACTGAATACAAACCAGGATATAAATAAAATGAATTAAAATAAAACAGAGAAATAAGTAAATAGTGTTAATATACTATATATCCATGTAGTATACTATACTAGGATTTGTCATATTTTTAAAAAAATATATAACAAAAATTAGCATTTGGTTTGTTCTCTCAATAGTTTTCTTCAAAGATCTGAGAAACACTAATTAACACTTGCCATCTGTTATACAAGATTTGATTAGAATTTTATTTTACCGTAATGCAAAGCTAATAAGCAAAGAACTGTGTTGGTTCTCATTTTACTTCCACTGTAGTCTATGTGAGCTATTCTGCCCCCTATACTATGACCGGCCTAACTGTTTGCTTCTCTTGCATCCTTGCTCAGTTTCTTTACATAGATGATGATCTTCTGTGGGTGAGCTGACTGTGAGGTATGTCACTGAATACAATGTATCTGTGCATGTCTGATATTGTCTAGATTTCAGACACATGTAGAAATTGTTCTGGGTGGCTGAGCACTGATGGCCATCTTGTGTTTTGAGTTAACATTTATGGTTTTGGAGTATAACCTTGCCCAGGTTTATAGGCAGAATTAGAGCCTTGTGTTGTAAACCAGGTGGTGTGAATAGGATGTTTATTAGTCTTGTCACTACAGTGCCCTGTCCCCATCGATCACTTGTGATCTGGCCAAGTCTTGAAAAGTTCAACTACACCTGTGTGGCTTCTACTCACTTCATTTACATTTCCTTTTGCACAGTTGTTACAATGTTCCTTTTGCGCCCAAAGCCCCAGAATTAGCACTTAGCTGTTAACTATCACAGGTCTACATGGAGAACAACATGCCTGCAATTTTTTTATTCCCCTCTCTTGCCATACTTACTATTTTTTTCCATTCATAATGCCATTCAACTACAAGATGGGATTGCATGGGCAGCACTCCTTTTAAAAAGTCTTTTCCTCTATTTTTTCATGTTATTCTTTTTTTTTTTCAATTTACAGAAATTTTACAGGAGAATTGAGCAGGAATGCTGATGTTTCAGTCCATTACACATTATCAGTACAATCCTAGCTCAAAAAACATTCTGGTCACCTAAGAATAGGTAGAAATCTCAATTTGCCAGCAGAACCCTTTTCATAGATATCTGCTGGCAGAACTGCTCTGCCAGCTAGGACATGCTGAAAGAAGAACAAAAAACTGCAATGGAGAAAGGCTGGAGTTAGTCTCCTGTAGCCAAAGGACACAGCTGCTTTGCCTGCATAAAGTTAGGACAAAATGAAGGTAGTCCTAAATTGACTCCAGTATTCCATCTATGTTGGCTTGGGCATGTTGTGAGAATGGCTGATGGTCTGATTCCAAAAGATCTCCTGTATGGAGAATTAGTGCAGGGAAAGCACTCCGGAGGGAGACCACAGCTGTGATACAAAGATATCTGAAAGCAGGATCTGAAGGCCTTGGGAATGGACCTCAACAGATGGGAAACCTTGACATCTGAGCATTCAGCCTAGAGGCAGGCAGTGCATCATGGCCTCTCACATTTTGCAGAGACCCTTGTCCAGCAGGCTGAGGCAAAGAGGCAGTCGCGGAGCCAACAAGGTAAGGGAGCAGGACAGGGGACAGATTGTATTTGCCTTCAATGTGGAAGGGATTGTCACTCTCAAATTGGCCTTCTCAGCCACACTAGATGCTGTTCCAAGTCCTCCATACAGAGCATGTTACCATAATCTCTTGAGACTGAAGGATGCCTAATCTAGTGAAATGTATTCAAATATATTTCATTATCTAATCTATTCCTAGGTGAGGCGATTCAGACAACTTCAGCTCTGCAAAGACAACATTCTCTCCAACATGATTCCCTCTTCCATATTGCTTTCTTTTGCCCCTGGCACTTTCTATTTGAATATTTTGTCCCTGCTTTTTTTGGATTATTGATAGCATGAACTGCTGGATAGCTCAGAGGCTTAGGTCTCTGGCTGGAAGTTCAGTTTGCCAGTGTGCCTCCTTGACAGGGCCTCTACTCAATGATCCATACAGTCCTTTCCAGCTTTGCAGTTCTAAAATGATTATGCTTTTTCTCTGAAGCATCAAACTACCAACAGACACACAGAAACATTAAAAAAAAACCCTTTTATCATAAGAAGAATAGTTGTGTCAGCAATTAAAAGATATAAAAATGTTTACATGTTAAGACTTTTTGTTACCCAAATTTTCTTAAACCATGCATACAAGTATACAGGAAATCAACACAAACCTGGCCCATACATTGCCACATCACTGCTGGAACAACTCTCCCATGGCTTTGCCAGTGTTTTTAATAAGATCTAAAGTGGGACACACTTGACCTAAACAGGTCTGTTAATGACAGAACATTTTCGAGGTCTTCAATTCATAGGGCTGCGGCATGCAGAAGTGCCTTGAAGGCAAGGGTGGGCAGCTTCCACCCTCCATATTATTATTGTATAGCAACACTCACAATCCCTCACCATTAGCTACAGTATGTTGGCTAGATCTGATGGGAATTGTACTCCAACAGCAAGTGTTGGGCCATTAGCTGCCCACCTAAAGAAATGAGAGGAAGCAAATGGGCAGGTAGAAAATGTTAGTATGCCATGAAAAATCAGCAAACAAATGGTTACTTAATACGTTATATTTA